AATTTATTTCTTTCGACTAATTTAATGTAAATAATTGAATTCCTGAGAAATTTTTACCATTCATGAAAAGAATTGAATTCTTACGAACGATTTTTCCAAAAAATGTTTAAATAATTGATGTCTGTTTGAAAATTTTATAAAAATATTGAAAATCATTAAATTGTGAAATTTTTTTTAAATAAATTAAATTTTACTAAGAATTCTATTAAAATTTTTGAGAATAATGGAATGTCTGTGTGTCATTTTATTCAATTTTTTTTTTTAAATAATTAAATTCCTAAAAAGCATTTTATTATTCTTGAAAATAATTGAATACTTGCGAACAATTATATTAGAATTTTTTAAAATAATTGAATTTCTAAAAAGAAATTTATTACTTTTAAAAATAATTGAATTCTTGTGATGAATATTGTTATTTATGAAAATAATTGAACTTTGCAAGGAATTTTATTAAAATGCCTCAAAATATAATTGAATTTTTGGTAATAATTTTGTTATTTATCGACATAATTGATTTTTTTCCAACAATTTTATTAAAATATTGGAAAATAATTGAATTACAGTCAAAAATTTTAATAGTTTTGTAAATAATTGAATTCGTTTAAAGAATCTTAAAAAAACATTTTTTAAATAATTGAGTTTTTCGAGAAGATGAAATTAAATTTTTCAGAATAATTACATTTTTTGAGCAATTCCTGTAAAATTGTATTAAAAATAATTGAATTCCTGAGAAGAATTTTATTTTTTATGAAAATAACTGTATTATTGACAAACATTGCGTATTAAAATGTTTAAATACGAAATTCTATACGAGAATTTAATTATTCAAATACAAAATTAAACAGTTTATTGAATAATTAAATGTTTCCTAAAATTCAATTCTCATAAAGAATTTTATCCACAAAATTTTTAAATAATTAAATTCTTTCAACGAATTTTAATAAGATTTTTTAAGAACAATTACATTTTTCGAGGAATTCGATTAAAATTGTAGGTATTAAAAATAATTGAAATTCTGTACAATGAGTTTTATTGTTTATGAAAATAATTGAATTCATAAAAAGAATTTTATTATTTATAGGAGAATAATTAAATCTTGTAAAAATTTTAATTATTATGAAAATAATTGAATTGTATAAAAATTTTTGAAAATCATATATTGAATTGAGGAAAATTTTTGAAAATAATTGAAATTTTGCCATGCATTGTATTAAAATTATTAAAAATCATATTGAATTAAGGAAAATTTTTGAAAATAATTGAAATTTTGACAAATTTAAAAAAAAAATTATGAAAATAATTGAAATTTTGACAAGAATATTGTATTAAAATTTTTAAAAATCGTTGAATTGAGGAAAATTTTTTAAAATAATTGAAATTTTGACGAGACTTTTATTAAAATTTTAAAAAATAATTGAATTCCTGAGAAGAATTTTATTATTTTTGAAAATAATTGAATTATTACGAAACATTTTATTAAAATGTTTAAAAAGAATTGAATTTCTGTTAAAAATTTGTTATTTTTGAAAATATTGTTTTAAATTGTTTTAAATAATTAATTTTCTCGAAATATAATAAATATTCTGGAAATTTTATTTAAAATAATTGAATTCTTGTGGAAAACTTTTTGTGAAAATAATTGAATTTTTCGATTAATTAATTTAAAATAGTATTAAAAATAATAGAGAAATTCTTTGATGAGTTTTATTATATTTATGAAAATAATTGAATTCGTGCTTAGGATTTTATCAAAAATTTAAAAAAAAATTGAATTTCCATGAAATATTGTATTATTAGTGAAAGTATTTAAATTATTGTGAAGAATTGCATAAAAATTTTGTATATAATTGATTTTTTCGAAATTTTTTTGAAAAGCTGCTATTTTAAGTTAATTGGATTCCTATACGGGAATTTTATTATTTATAAAAATAATTGAATTTTGGATGAATTTTATCCATTTTTTTTAAATTAATTGAATTTGTTGGCAAAATTTCATGAAAATTTTAAATATTGAAATTGAAAGTAATTGAATTTCGAATATTTTTTTTAAATAATTGAATCTTTTTAAAGAATTTGAGTATATTTTTTGAGAATAGATTTTTGATTTCTATTATTAGCGAATTTAAAGTAGCCAAAATTAGGTTCATTTTTTACAATGAAAAGCCTGTAATGAATTTCACAGTCATTTAAATGTGAAAATGGTTTATAAAAGATGTCTCTCACTCTATCTTCTGTTTATCATTTAATCATCAAAACTTTGATTTGTATAGAAAAGAATAAAAAGAAACAATAAAAGATGGAATAAAAAAAAACTGGAAGAACCTGTAAACATGTTTGTTCAAGGATATCCAGGAGATTCGACGAATCAGAGAGTGAGAGAGAGAGAAAGAGGAGTCGGCTTTTTCCTGGACAAACGGAAACAAAAGGACTCGAGCGCGTGGCTCGCATAATGACCTCGAGGCTGCTGAAAAAGGGTCAGCGATACGATCTCAGCTACCCAATGTCACGGGTTAATGGATGACGTCTTTGTTTTCTATATAACTATCAGCCATTCTATGAAAATAAAAGGAAAAAAATGGAAATTTCAAAAGATTTTAAATAGCCGCAACAGAGATGGAAATTTATTACAATATAAAGCTTTTCGTGAGGTGGTACACCCCAATAGTCAAGTACTTCCGGTATAACAGAAATATTACGACTTAATTTAGGATCAACTTTTTGATTAGGACGTGAGTTAAAATTTAATGTATTTTGATAATATATCTATATTGTTTACATTTTGACTTGAATTTTAAAATTATTTTACCATTTTCACCTGAATTCTGAAAATTATTATTTTACCATTTGGACCTACAAATATATTGACCTAATTTTCTTCTATTTAATTTTAACTTGTTTAGATTAAAATTTGAACTATCTAATTTTAGCCTTTCGAGCAATCAATTTTGACCAAATTTTCCCAATTACTTAAAAAAAACAAAACAAAAATCACAAATTACTTAAAAATAATTTTAAAATGTTAAAATTTAGGTCAAATTTCAGGAAGTCCTGAACTGCATTCTCGACATATTTTATGGTTCATTAAATCCTGAACCTAAAATTCAAAAGTTATTTGCTTTATTAATATAATTTATTTCTTTATCATAACTTAAAATTTTGCCCAAAAAATTAAACTTACTCAAAATCTTAACAAGGATTTTGACCTAAATTTAAAAAGTTTTATTTTGAGGTTCTATATTAAACGCTATAGGTCTTTAATTAAAAGTTAGTTATTTTTAAACCATAATATTATTTATCTATTCATTGTAAAATAATTGATCGAAAGTATTATAGTATATTCAGATCCTTGACCTAAGAATCTTGCTTGACCTAAAACTTAAGTTTCTTTAAAATTCTGAAGATTTTGACATAAATTGTAACTAGTTTTTATTCCACTTTGTTGACCTATAAAATCTGACCTTATTTTTGAAATTAATTTAACCTACCGACCTATATTTGGATGATTTTTAGCTTTTCGACCTAATTTTTGAAACTATTTTAACTTATTGACTTAAGATTTTGACTGATTTTCGTGTCCTTTCGGCCTTTGAATTGTTACTAATTTTTAAAATGTTTTTATAATTGTATCTATATTTTGTACTTATTTTAGCTTCTGCAATTTTTTTTTGACCTAAATTTGACCTAAAAAAATTGAAATTCTTTCTAATTAACTGCACGGAAAAAAATGGTTAGCCTATTATAACCAGACTGAGTTTGGTTGACTGAATGGAGGTTGTTTGAAACAAGTGAATAGTTGTGTTAACCCAAGAGATTTAGTTTTTAGGACGGAACTTGAATGGTTATATTAGTGTGACTATTGGAACCAAATGTTCGTTTATGACCACCAAACTGTTACTAGCAAAGCAGTTTCTTCTATCCCCACTACTTAAGAAGTGGAACTTAGAAAATTTTTCCACAATTTATTCTTTAAGCAATTTGAACTTAGAAAATTTTTCCACAATTTATTCTTTAAGCAATTTGAACTTAGAAAATTTTTTCACAATTTATTCTTTAAGCAATTTGTACTTAGAAAATTTTCCACAATTTATTCTTTAAGCAATTTGAACTTAGAAAATTTTTCAACAATTTATTTTTTAAGCAATCTGAACTTAGAACTATTTTATAAATTCAAGAATAGAATACCTATATTTAAACCAATAAAATTGTTATTACTATTATTTTTATTTTTAAGGATAAAATGAATTAAAATGTACTCTCAATATATAAAAAATGGTAAATATTTCACTAACTTTAACAAGCGTATATACGTATGTGTATAGCCTGAAAGGTTTTGAAGCTTTGGTAACAAAGAATTTTGAATTAAAAACTGATAAAACAGTATTACATTTTATGAATATATACCTACATATGTATGTATATTTATAATATATAATTTAAAAAAATAAATATATCTATTTATTTTTATATACAGTAATAAACAAAAAAATTTAATTTATATTTTTTTATAACTATAATCTTTTTCCCTCATTGTGTGTCACGTTTTTGGATAGTAACAATGGTTAAACTTTTATGATACTTTTTGGGCTGGTTAACATGGGACCGTTGACATCTGGAAGCAATTTCAGCGCTGTATTTAACGCGCTTGGGACCGGTTGACCGAGCGTAGTTCAAATTTCAGAATTTTTTTTTGCAAGGGTTTTTAGATCTTTGAATTTTTTTAAATATGGAAAAATGAAAATGCAATGTTGTCAAATGCTTTCCTTTTTCAACGTTGTCAAGTCTTTTTCTGATTTTCGGCTATAGGACAAAAGCATTTTCAGTCTTCAGGATTTACTCTTACAGTAATCTTGTTCTTAAAAGTGGAAAGTGTTGTGAGTTTGTGAATTTGTGAAGTGCAATTTCTGGATTAATTTGATATTGCATTTTTTATATTGGAAATAAAAGAATATAAATAATATAATATTTAATATTCTTATATACTATTAAATAAATTTATTATATTCAACTGTAATAATGAGTTACAAACTTTTGCTTTGTGAATGGGGTTTGGAAAAATACATTGAAAAATTTGAAGGTAAGAGATTTTTTCAACAAATTTATAAACAAAAAGTTAAATTTCACATTTTCTTCTTTATCAGAAAGAAGCTTTAATAAGTAAAAAGCTTTTTTCAATAAAATACAATTAGTATACTGGGATATTAGTATAATGTTTAATGCAAGTAGTGTACAAAGGTTTGTCCCAATAAAAAGAAAGTCTTATTGTAAATTAGAATTAGAGTCGAGCGCGCGGACGAACGCTTTAATGTCAGTCTGGGAGCAGTGAGCGCCTCTGCGCCTACCACTGCTACCTGACTGGTATTAGCGCGTGCGTTCGCGCGCTTAGCGAGTTCTTCTTTTGGGCTTCTCAATTAATTAAAATAAATAAATCACTATTTTATAATTATTATAAAAATATTGTTAGAATTACTTCTTCAAAATTATTTTTATCATTTCAATTCAATTAATACTTTTTATTATTTTTAACTAAAATTCTTCTTTAATTAAATTAATTTTAAAAAAGTTCTTTAAGAATTGTCACATCCATGTGTTTATAATTCAATTTTATGGAATTTCGATTATTTGAAAATTTTTTAATTAATTTAATTACGGACCAAAAATAAAAAATTACGGACCATTTACGGATCAATTACCGACAAGAATATAACCAGTCCGAGTCAAATAAAAGAACATTTTAACTTAAAATTACAAATTAAATTTTTAATAACTATAAAACATGAAGATATCAATAACTATAAGTCGAAGACTCGGAGTAATCGTTTCTTCATGTTCTATAATAATTAAAGATGACTGAGATTATAAAATCAATACCAATTCAATTATTATTTTTAAGAATAAAAGAATTAAAGTTTTTCACAAGAATTAATTTTAAATTCAATTATTTCTAAAAATTCATGCTTTTAATATTTAATTATTATCTAAAATCTTTAACTAAAATTCAGTTTTAATTTATTTTTTATTAGAAAGTTTTACTAGAATTCAATTACTTAAAAACAAAAATAAATAATTTATTGAATAATTGAATGTTTCTTAAAATTCAATTCCCTTAAAGAATTTCATCAACAATTTTTTAAATAATTGAATTCTTTCGACGAATTTTAATAATAATAATATAAATAATTTCCGCGATGAGTTTTATTATTTATAAAAATAATTGAATCTCTGTAAAATATATTATTATTTATGAATATAATTGAAGAGTTGGATGCTATAATGTGTTACGCGCCATGGTAAGTGAATGGCGCGTAACACATTATAGCATCCAACCCCTCAACTGAATTATTGTGAATAATTTTATTAAAATTTTATAAATAATATAATCCCTGTATATAATAAAAAAATTTATAAAATTTATAAAAATTTGTAAATAATTGAAATTCTGTGAAATTTAATTAAAAATTAATTAATTAATTAATTTTTGTTTAATTTAATTTAATTTTTAATTAATTTTTTTAATTTAATTTTTATTTTTAATTACCGTCAACCGGGGCTATTTTGTGCACCAAATAGCTTTTTTTTTATTCAAAGATTTATTTAAATTCAGAATTAAGAGAATAAAGAAAATCAACTTTTGATATATGTTGTGGACATCCTTCTGAAGGTTTCCTATAAATTTTGCAAAGAATAAAATTTTTTTGTCTTAGTTATAGTCATTGAAAGTCGTGAACACAATAACTCCCGGGATGGGGCTATTTTGTGCATCGAACTTTGTTTTTCTATAATGTTGCATAAACAATTTTTTTAATCGTTTCTGCTTCATGAAATCTTTTGTGTATATATTTGAGAGTAAATTAAAAAAAGAATGACCTAGTAAAATTTTTTTTGTAGATATATTATACAAAAAATGTAAAGCACTAAAATTTTGCTAAAATCTGGATTTACTAAAAATTAACAATCTTTCTTTAAATTGTATATTACGCAGATAGTAAATAAAATTTTTTTCTTTTAATATATATTTTATAATAATATACTAATATAATTATAAAATGATCGTTTAAACACTTATAAATAACTTTAAAACATCATTTCAATAGGAGCTTTTTTAATGGTTTTGAATGATATTTTTAAAAAACTTGAAATAAATATTTTTAAGGCTAAATAGATAACAATTTAATATCTAATATGATTTTCAAGTTATTTTAAGAGAAACGAGAAAATAGTTTTAAAACTAATTTGAAAAACTTATAAATATTAATTAAAGTTCATTTTTTGAGGTTACGTTGTGCACCGGTAGAGCTTTTAATCGTTTTAATGATTTTAATTAACGTATTTACAGTTTTTTGACAGAAAAGTAAGACAAAAATGTATAAAAATGATAAACAGAATCTTCTTTACTTACTAAATAAAATATTTATGAAAAATATTTTATTTTTTTAAGTGCACAAAATAGCCCCATGGAATCCTGGTTTTTCAGTTTTTTCCACTTTTCTCTTAAAATAATGAATAAAAAGTTAGCGCATTACGTATGTATCATCACAACACAATTGACAACAAATATCTAACACAGTTTATGAGACACATTAAAACTCTAGAAGATCTGGTATAATTTTTCCGAACTTTCAAAATTTTTTAAACAAATTTTCCGTTTTTAGGATTTTTTTACTCTTAATTGCCAAAGAATTAAATAATAACATTTAGTGCTCTCTATTGTTATGTAATCAAACTTTCATTTTACAAAATAGCAGATTAAAATAATTCATTTTAATAATTTTTTTCATTAAAAAACTCGCGTGCACAAAATAGCCCCCGGATGCACAAAATAGCCCCAGTTGACAGTATGTGAAATTTTTTTTTCTTTATGAAAATAATTAAATGTTTACGTAGCATTTTATCAAAAAAATTTTAAATAATTAAATTCTTTTGAAAAATTTTACTAAAATAGATAGTAAAAATCATTCGTGAAGAAAATTATTACTCTTAATTACTCTTAACAAATAATTGAATTTCTGCAATAATTTGTAAAATTTCCCAAATTAATTTTTTTTTATGTTTTTAACTAAAATTCTTCCTTAAATGCATTATTTTTATAATTTTTGAAAAAGTTCTTTGAAAATTTTCAAATTCATTTGTTTACAATTTAATTTTACACAATTTTAACTATTCGTAAATTCTTCAATTAAGTATATATTACAAAATAAAAACTTTAAATAATTTCAAAAAAAATCCGCAATTAAAATTTACCAAAAAATATTAATTAACAGAATTGTTAGTTAAAAACATGTAAAATTCAGATTTTTAAAGATTTTAATTTGAAACCTTTTCAAAATTTAATTATTTTAACTGATTTTAGAAGAATTTAAATTATTTAAATTTTTCAAAAATCTAAGTTCATTAAAATTTCTAATTAAATTCATGTAAAATATATTACTGTGCTATTACAATATTACAATTTTTAATAAGCGTTTTTTAATTAGATGAAGAAATCGATGATGAATCTTTCCCATTTTTGGAAAAGGAAAAAATTTCTGACTTATTTCCTAAAGTGGGACCTTACTCTAAATTTATAAGGTTATACAATAATTGGATTCACGATAAAGAAAATAATGAACCGGCTTCAACACCTGTATGTACACTACTTAATTTAATAAAAAAAATTATTGTAAACTATTTAAAGATGAAGATAAATAAATCATTACTGTTTTCTAAATTTATTTTTCAAATGATTAAAGGTCAATAATGCATTACAATTAAAAAGTGATATTGAAGGAACCTATGAGATTGGTCCTGATGGACAATTAGAAGAAGTATACAACCCTCAAGATTCAAATTCGGAAAGAAACGAATTGGAAGATTTTACATTAGAAGAGGAAGTGCAAAATACTTTGAAAGCGGAAAAACGTTCTGCAAATGTAACAACGGTTGTTCCTGAAAAAAGAAGAAAAGTTAGTTCCGATTCTACTCATCATTCTATTATTAAAGAGGTAATAATTTTTTTGTTCAGATTAATGTTGTTATTGTCCTATCGTTGTTTATGTTATTGTTTTATGAACATGTAGTAAACATTTTTTATTTTGTTGTAGGGTCCAATCTACGAATGTCTTATTAATAACATTCGTGGGAATTTGGCAATTGCGGAGTATGAATCGAAAGGATTCTTAAGGTCAAGAACACAGCAAATTGTTGCAGAGTGTGTTCTTTCACAGGAATTCAAAGGAGATATTTGGAAACAGTATGTAAAAAATTATTTAAAAAGTAACAAATATTACGTCCATATAACTCTATTTCTTTTTTACAGGATACATCGAGAACAATTTTTGAAACTTTCTGAGGGCATCGAATTGCTTTTTCCTTCTGAAAATAAGGTATATATATTATAGTATTCTTTATTACATCCATATTTAATGACATAAAAATCTCGTCTTATCAACATTTTTTGATTTCAGGAAACATACTATATACCGTATTATAAAAATGAAGCTGGGAAAAAGTATAGTGCTTCTGGAAAACTAGTGGACTTGTTCTATAATATAAGAAAAAGAGCTGTTCGTTCTGGGATTCAATCTTCCAGAAAAAACTCAAGTCAAAAATCTACTGATAATGATGCTCTGACTAATGCCGTTACTCCAGATGCAGATACTTTAAATAAAATTAATTCTCTTTCAATAACATGCATACCATGGCAAGATTGCATTGAAAAGTGGCGAGACACTCACGATTATCGAATGACGGAAATTCGTTCAACTGCAACTGTAACTTCAAAAACGAAAGGAGGAAAAGAGAAGACTACAATTTCTAATAAAGTTACATTCTATATTACAAAGTATAGAGGAATAAAGGAGGCTTTAGGTTACACTTTGGTGAGTGGCAATTGATTTTCAAATTTTCAAAGATATTTAGAATAAGCTTATCGCTTTTACTGATAATTAAAGGATTGTTTTCTCTTTTTCTATTTCATGTAAATAATTTGTAATTCTTTTGACAGCTTGAATTGGATTACTCTATGTTGTACCCAGGAACTGAAGAAAACTTATTGTTTTTATGGCCATCTTTTAAAAGCAAACTTCTCTCGGTATTTCAACGTGATAACAGCAATTTGTTTAAATCAAGCAGTAATGGTTAGTTAAATTTTAAACTAACTTTTACATTAATAAAGATTCTTTCCATCTATTCAAGCTTTATGGATACATTATAAAATAACCCATAACATGTCCACTGCATCATCATTTATGTGTGCTGAACCTGATTGTTTATTTAAAAAAACCTTTTCTTCATGGTCTAGAATCCGAAAACACTACAAGTGTTATCACAAATTTTGTAATAATTTTGTCAATAATCTTCAAATAGAAAATAATGAACCTATTGGAATAGAACTCCCTGTTAATGATATTCAAAATGTCAATCATGAGCAACCAGAACCCATTGACAATGAAATTGATATAGTTAATGATCCAGTTGAGAATGAAAATCAACAGTTATTTCCTCAATTTTTGACACATGAAGCTTCTAAGTTGTTAGCGAAATTTTATAGTCGACCATCTTTTCCTCGAAGTCTGGTACAATTAATGGTTGATAATGTTGGTGATTTTATGAGTAGTTCTCTTCAACAATTTCGAAAGAAATGCGAAATAGTGTTAAACAATTCAACTCTTCAAGAAAACGAAAAAAATGAAATACATAAATTAATAGATGAATTTGATAATTCATTCTCTTCTCTTTCTTCAGAGTACTTAAGACTAAAATATTTTGAGAAATCCGGTCATCTTATTTCTGCAGTTGATTATAAAGTAGGAGAAAGAATTGAATATAAATTTAAAAATGGTAGAATTGTTCGAGAATCAGTAGATTGCATTGCAAAACATATTCCTATGCGATTAATCTTGAAAAAATTTCTAGAACTTCCGGGAAATTTTGAAATAATTTCAAAATATATGAACGAATTAAAACGCTCAGAAACAGAGATATGCAATTTTATTCAGGGAAATTTATGGAAAGAAAAATCGGCTATTTATGAATTAGAAAATAAAATAGTTCTGCCTATATTTTTAGGCATAGATGATTTTGAAATTAATAATCCCTTAGGATCGCACACAGGAGTTAGTGAAGTTGGATCAGTATATCTTTCAATGCCATTCTTACCCCCAGAATTTTATTCTCGATTGGAAAACATTTTTTTAATTGGTTTATATTATTCACGAGACAGACAATTACCAAATGGGAATTACCATATCTTTAAAATTATTGTAGAAGAGTTGAATTTTCTTGCACGAGAAGGGATATTAATTAATACTGCATCCGGTATTCAACGAGTATATTTTCTTCTTGGTTTAATTTTGGGAGATAATAAAGGGTTAAATGAAGTATTAGGGTTTTCTGGAAGCTTCAGTGCCAATTATTTTTGTCGCTTTTGTACAAGACATAAAAGTAATTGTGCAAAAGATATTTCTGAGCAATGTAATTTTTTAAGAAATCCAGTAGATTATGAAAGAGATATTAATAATGGTTTTGACGTTTCTGGTGTTAAAGAAAAATCCATTTGGCTTGATGTAGATCACTTTCATCCTTATAAGAATTTTGCTGTTTGTACCCTACACGATTTTGATGAAGGAATCAGTTCTTATGCAATGCCGCTTATATGTCAGTATTTTATTTTAAAGCAAAAAATTTTCGATCTTGATTTTTTAAATGAGCGAATATTAGGATTTAACTATCAAGTAAACGGATTCTCAAATAAACCCTGCATTATAACAGTAGACAATTTAAAAAATCTTCAATTTCGTATGTCTGGCAACGAAATGAGAACATTCGTTTTATGTTTTCATTTTTTAGTTGGTGATTATGTACCTTTCGACAATGATGTTTGGAAATATTATCTTGTATTGCGTCGATTAATTGAATTTATATCTTGCAGAATTTTTCCAAGAAATCGTGTGCTACAATTTCAAGAATTGATAAAAGAACATAATTACCTTTATCAAAAGCAATTTGGTTCACTAAAACCAAAAATGCATATTTTAAATCATTACTTTAAAATTTTAATTGAATCTGGACCACTCTCTTTTCTTAGTACTATACGTAATGAAGGGAAGCACAAAGAAGTTAAAGACAGTGCATCGGCTACAAGATCAAGAAAAAATGTAACACATACACTTGCTCTTAAACAACAATTACAATTATGTTACCGATTTCTATCTGAAGAAGGTTTAAAAACCGATCTTATGTCTGGGCGCTGTCAAATTCTTTACAATATAATGTTATTAGAAGGTTATCAATATTTTTCAAATACTTTACCTGGCTCTTTCATAAATAATGCGTGCGTAAGTGTAAAGTGGGTTACATTTAATGGTATAACGTATAGAGAAGAAATGTGTATAATTTTAGATTTATGCGATAATGGTATCCTACCAACATTTGGAATTATTAAGAAAATTTTATTTAATTCCAATGCAAATGAAGTATGTTTCATTTGTTTAAAATTATCAAATCTTGGTTTTGACTCAAATATGGGAGCTTATGAAATAGAATACGATTTGCAGTGGCAGTGTTGTTTAATTAATAACTTGTTAAGTCCATTTCCCGCAATAAAAGTAGTATTAAGCAATGGTAAAAAATATGTTGGTCTTCGGTGTTTAGTTTGAGTAATATATGTAATTTATAAATAAAGAGATTTAGAAATGTAAGTTCAGAAAGAATATAAATTGTTGACTTTCACATTTGAAAGTATATTTAAAAAGTTGTAATAAATTATCATTTTAAATTTTAACAATTTTTAATTTTATTCATAAACCACTCTTAATTATCACCCCCCACCCCTCAAATAATATTCAAGAATTTTGGTTTCTTTAAACAAACCGTTTGGTTGGTATAATCTAACGACACACAATACTGCTAACCCAACATACTGTTTAAAGGAACCGAACTCTACTAACCAAGTGAGTTCGGTTACTGTAAACTGTGCATTCGGTCAGTCCATAGTCAACCTACCAGTTCAGTTGACGTAACCGTAGTTTTGTTTCTTATGGCCAAACTCTTTTTTCCGTGTGTATTAACGCTTTAAAATTTATCCAAATTGATGTTATACTTATTATAACATAAAGGTTATAAGTCTAACAATTTTTTAGGTTATATTAACCCTTTGACCTAAAAAAATTTAAATTCTTTCTTAAATTAACTGTATTAACGCATTAAAATTTATCCAAATTGATGTTATACTTATAACATCAATTTGAATAAATTTTAAAGTCTTACATTAACTTGTTAACCTGCGGACTATGAATTTTGACCTTATTTTTAAGGATATACATTAACCTCCTTGACCTAAACTGCGTGTGGTTTAATAATAACAAAACATAAAATGAAAAGAAACTGTCTTAATATAGACATAAGAAAAACAAACAAATCAAAAAGTGACATCTGGATTGAAAAGTGAAGCATAGGGTTTAATTTTTTTTTTCATCCTCAGAGATCATACATAATCTATAAAATTACAAACTTTTTTTTTCCTCTTTCTCTTTTTTCGAGGGAAATTCTGTCAAACATATTATGAACAGATAAAACAAACAACCAGTCACTTCTCATTTCGGTCCCTTTCATTCTCCCGAAAACTTGACTGACGTCCCTCTATGTAAAAAAAAATTGAAGAAACGAGGAAAAAAAATTTCTCGACATCTCTAAACGTAATGTATCGTCGGCACCGGAAATATTTATAAAATGGTACAGAGAGAGAGAAAGACAGAAAATGAGAGAAAAAAAGGAGTGAGAAAGAGAGTCGCTTTTATTAAAGTCGGGGGTCTCTGAGAGACTCGTATTTAAAATGCCATGCTAATCGGCCTTCTCGACGACACTCGTAGATCAACGATCTTGACGATGCAATCTCCTCTGATTCTCTCTCTTTTATATCTGTATATATACACATATATAGTATATATAGATATAGGTGTATATTTAGTTGGGATGCTGCGTTCGCGAGCCAAGCGTGCGAACTATATGCGTGCAGTGAAAACATAATATTACTACTAAAGTGAAGAGAGGGGATTTTGAGCGACTAGAGGGCAGCACATTACGGTGGCGAAGGAACGATTATTGTCTGGGGTGTCACACACTAGCTGCCTGCGTTTAAGCCCCGAAAAGTTACGCACCGTTGCTCTTCCCTCCCACAATCTCATTCCCCACTACCTTTCTTCACTACTTTACTAGCCAGTCAGTTAACTCACACTAGAAATAAGGACGCCTCTAATACTCTCACTTTCCCTCTTGTTTGTTACGATCTCCCCCCTCCACCCTATCTCAACTCCCCCCCCCCTCTCTCGCTACTTCCTCCCCTGCTGTTCATTACACAAACAGTAGCATGCAACTGAATTCAATTTATTCAGAAAGTGTAAATTTAATTTGTCTTTTTTATCATTACCTGCATTTTTGTCTTATCATAATATTATGTATTTTTATTTTTTTTGTGGTTTTTGCAAAATTTATATTAAAAAATTTTTCTTTACATTCAAACTTTTTAATTTTATTTCTATAATTTTTCGGAAATAAGAAAATTTTTTTTTTACATTCAAACTTTTTAATTTTATTTCTATAATTTTTTGGAAATAAAAAAAATTTTTATATATTTGAAGTTAGTGGCCGATTATTAATGAAGTATTTTACAAAATACAAGAAAAATTTTTGTTAAATTACTTTTAGATCAAAATAATTGGATAATTATAATAATTAATCATTATAAAAAGTAATAAAATTTCTTTTTATACCTAATCCACTTTTTTATTCCTTTAAATTGATAAAATCCCCGAAAACACCTAAAATCATAGATTTCCTCCCGTTTCTCCCTTATTTTTAAGAAAAACTTGTAAAACTTGTTGTGAGAAAGAAAAACTTTGGAGGCTTGCTTGAAAATATTTTTTTTTACTTTTTGCAAACTTTGGAAAAATTTTTCTATTTTGAAACTTAAAAATCTTTTTATATTATTTCTCAGAGTCTTTAAACTTGGAAATTTTTTTCGTAAAATGTAACAAATATAAAATAACTTTTATTTTTAAGAAAAATTAAAATTGTTTGGAATTTTTGATAAATTGTATATTAATTTCAAAATAAATTTTACTAAATTCAAAGTATAGGTATATATTCTGAAGAAAT